AATGGAATTTAGAAAAAGTTATTCAATCAAGAATTTTGAAAAATCATATCAAATCCTCTAAATATCCTTAACAATTTTTTATCAAACATTAACAATTTCTTTAGAGAATATCCTATGAAACATTAACAATCATTTTAACAAATCCTCTAAACATCCTTCAAATCTCCTAATATCTCCTAAAATCTCTCCAAATCCATCGTATTCTTCAAAATCCCTAGTCAAATACCTAGGATGCACGGAAACGGCAAACATGTAGCTCCCCCGTCTCGGAAACGGCGTGGGTACGAGGACGGCTAGGAAACGCCCCCTAGACGTTTCGGTTGATCGGAGACGCCATGGAGTGGACAAATACACCCCCCTATATAATCACTACTCTTCTTCTCCTATACGACACTCCTGAAATTTTTTAAGAAGCACCAAATTCCAAATAGATCGATCAACTATAGAGATAAAAACAAAAACAGATGACTTCTACAGACAGGTCTTGCTTATTTTCTTCTTTTATGTATCTTGATAGTTGATCTATAAGAAGTTGCCTTAAGGCCCTTAACCCAACAGTGTCGTTCTGATAAAACAGGTTGATCAAAGTTGGTCCAGCAGAAACGGGTCGTCATCGCCATACAGTCAATTTTGATCTAAGAGGTTGCAATGAAATCTCACAGATTTTCGTTTCAGCAGGAAAGAGTGGGATAACCGCGATCCAGTTCCAATACGTGGAAAATGGGAAGTATGTGTTATCCGATCAATATGGCTATGGTAACCATACAACCAAGTTTCACACCGTAAGTAAGAGTGATGTGATAATCTTGACAATTGTTTCTATTTATATATTTTCTTCCAATGAATTCTTCAAAATCAATTGCCACCACCATGCAGATCGAGTTGAACCATCCAGCTGAGTATATTACCGGAGTCAGTGGTCAATTTTATATTGCATCTGATCTCATTAAAGTGATCACTTTCACTACAAACATGAAGGAGTATGGTCCGTTTGGTGTACTCGACCCAAATATGTGGCCCCGGCGGGGGAACCCACAATCTTTTACCTTCGATCTTGGAAATTCCCGTCAATTTGGTGGTTTTCATGGGATCTTTAACTCATGGGGTCTCTTATCTATAGGTTTATATCTTAGTGCTAAAACTGTAACCCCCACCCTTGGCTTAAAGATTCCAAAGAAAGAAGCATAAAGTGATTGCCTAGGAGGGGAAAAAATTTCACTTTCTTAATCTTTGTTTGCTATTTCTTATTGTGTTAGTCTGCTTGTAATTGTGAGGGATTCCTAATCCATATTTTGGATTGTTGCATGAACTTGCAATTAGCCTTATCTTTTT